CCCCAAAACCCCAAAACCCCAAAACCCCAATTAATCATCGTAGATTGAAATTTATTTGAACACCTTTCTCTTCGCTTTAATTTCTAAGGCTCTGATTGTGAACAACTTTTCAAGACTTTCAGCATTGGTTGGCTCTGCATTACCCTTATGTATATCTCTGATGGTATCCCAGAGAGCTGAGCACTCTAGCTCTCTTTTCCCAAGCTTCTTCTGTATATCTAATTCTGTCTTTTTCATCTGGAGTTCTTTCTGATTTAAGAGGGCTATAATGTTTTCATTTTCTTGTTTGCTCAATTCCAAGTTGTTCTCAAGCACTCCAATCTCTTCCTTATATTTTGTTACTTCTGTAGTAAGATTTGTATAAATTTTAGACCATTCTTCCTTCATTTTAGTAACTTCTGCTTCTAGATAAAGGTTAGTAAGGAAAATTAGGCAGACAGGCTTATAAAGAATTCTTTGAATTTAAAGGTTTGTAAAACAGGAAGTATCTATTCTATGATTCTTGTTTCAATTTATTAATGCTATAGGCTAAAACACTACCAATAAATAGTTCTTCTTCTTAGAATTAATTTTTATATCTTCAAAATTGGCATGAGTTATCCCTATCTTACTCTTAAGCTCTTGAATTTCCTTAATGTCCTGCTCCTTTTCAAGCTTTATCCTGTGGTTATCTATAAATATCTCATATATTTTTGTACCTTTTGTAAGATTTTGGATCGGAATTGGAGGTTTTTGGGATTTCAGTTCAGAAATTTTGTTAACAAGAGAGCAATTCTTGGCTAAAAGAGTTTCTATCTTTGATTTCAAAGTTGCTACTTCACCACTATTGCCTCCTCGAGTCTATAAAATGTAATGTTACTAACTAGAAACAAAATATAGAGATACCTGTGAATTCAGCTTTCTCTTTAACTCATTGATTTCTTTATACAGTTGAATTTCTTTCTCTGTCTTATCATGAGAAGAAGGCTGTTTATTCCTTAACTCAGAATTCTCTTTTGTTAACTTTTCAATAGTTCATTTTAGAGAATCTATTTCTTGTTTAAGCTTATTTATATCTCCTGGGGGTTTAGGAGAGTCATAAAATTTATTTCTGTCTGCTTGTAAGGCTTGCTTTCATAATTTCTTTCGATTTTTGAGCTATTGGGATCAATATTATTAACTTTTCGATTACTTTAGTTTGATATTATCAAAAATGAAAATCAAGTTATCTTGAATAAGTATTCATTGCAAAACCTTTTAATATACAAATGCTAATTATTAAATAAACGTAAATCACCATTGTGCGATCAAAATATTAAAATGAGTAGAAAATCATCTCCCATTCTTCAAAACTTAAAAAAAATGATTGCTAATTCTCCCGTATTTCTTGAATGTCACCAAAAGCTATGCTCGCCTCTATTGAACTTACTATTCAGGAGTCTTCTCAAAATCAGTTTGACAAGACTTATTCTGTAGATCAGAGACTGTCACTGAAGGTATGACATATTCAGCCTTCAGTTTAATAGGAGGCCTGGATCTCTTAGGCCTATTCTGCAGCTGATCTCAATCAGGCACTTTTTGGAGCTTTCCTTTCAGAATCTTCTCCATTTCATTCTGAGTGGTTCTTTGAAGGAAGGCAAATGAAGATTCTCCTAATTTCTTGTGTCCATAATTGTTAGGAATCTCTGCATCTTCTTCGGAAGAAGAGTCACAGTTGGGAGTCTTATTTTCTTGGTAAAGATGTGTTGCTATAAAGAAGAAACTGTTAGCTTATCAGTATTGATAGAAAATAAGATATCATAGGTGTTGAGGTAAGGATTATATGAAAATGAGGGAATACCTTTCATTTCAAATTTAAATTTTTAATATTCAAATGTTTTTAAGATTTAAGGGGTTTTGGGGTTTTGGGGTTTTGGGGTTTTGGGG